ATACCACGTACGTATTGCATATGTTATTAGAATATATATGTGTATATATGACTGTTCGCTTTTTCTGTCCTCATTGATAACGTCACAAGAGAGAAATCGCATGTTACAAATTCCTGCAAACTGCGGTTAAATAAAAAGATATGTCCATACGATACTTGTGATCGATTCGACAAACTACATACAGTTATATAGTATGATAACGTATACAGTTATACAATGATGAAAAAGTGAACAGTCAGGAGTCTTAAAATTTAATAATATAATTAATTACATAAAAGATTGTGTCAATTGCGCGCGATGTAAAATCGACAGAAACATTGAATTATTCCAATATTACATGCATGTAATGGAGAAGCATCGACAATTGCTACAACTACACATTTATTTGTGGTAATACAACATATAATCTAGAACAAGTAATACATATATGTAATAATTGTGTATGTTATTGAATCTTTCATTATATGAGTGTAGTGGCATTAAAAATATTTTACATTGCTTTTAAACAATTATTTTATTCAATTACTTCTTTCTCTAATCGATGCAATAAGGAACTGATATATAGGTACAATATTATTGTACCTATTGTATTTCAACTATATATGGAATTAAGAGCATCAGTATCAAGAATATAATATACGTATTTCAAGTCGACATATAATTACAAACATCTCATCTGCAATTAAAGTAACACAATATTTCTTTACTATTATATATGTATACGCTGGAGGAAATTATATTTGTCATGAAACCAATTTCACACATGTTACGAGTAGAATATAGTTGCAATCATGTCATATGCAATTGAAGTAATATTGGGTTGTTCAAAAAGTCATTGCGTTTTTTTTCAATAGATGGCGTTGTCCACGTTTATTTGTATCTGAGCGTGACATGAATGTCAAATGTTTACGCGCGTTTTGTTGTTGACACTTAACCTAAAAGCCAAAAAAAAGTTGACGCGGTTCAGTCGAGTTTTGTGCTTGCAATTGTGGTTCGAACATGGAGAATTTTGAAGAGCATATTCGCCATATTTTGCTTTATTACTTTAAAAAAGGGAAGAAAGCAACTGAAGCACGGGAAAAGTTGTGTCAAGTTTACGGCAAAAATGTCATCGGAAAACGCCAGTGCCAGAACTGGTTCGCCCGATTCCGTGATGGTGATTTTTCAGTTAAAGACGCTCATCGTTCCGGTAGGCCTTCCGAGATTGACGACGATAAAATCAAAGCATTAGTGCAAGTAAATAAGCATCAAACGGTTCGGGAGCTTGCTACTGCTCTAAAAGTATCCATTGGAAGTGTTCATGGCCATTTGAAATCGCTTGGTTTCACAAAGAAGCT